AAATGTTTTTTATTTGGCTTATGGTTATATTTTTTATATTTTCTTATTTTACATGCATGAGTGTATTGCCTGCATATAAGTGTACCTGTGTCGTGCACTACAGAGGTCAGAAGGTGTTGGATGCCCTGGAACTGGAGTTACAGATGGTTGTTAGCCACCAAGTAGGTGCTGGGAACTGAGCCCTGGACCTCTGCAAGAGGAGTCAGTGCTCTTAACCACTAAGCCATTTCTCCAGCTCCTTGGCTTACACTTATATGTCACAGATTATCATTGAGGAAAATCAGGACAGGAACAGAAGGGAGGAACCTGGTGGCAAGAGCTGAAGCAGAGACCACAGGAGAACACTGCTGCCTGACTTGTTTCCCCTGGCTTGCTCAGTTACTTTTCCTTTCTTCTTTTTTTTTTTTTTCCTTTTCATTATTTATTTTTTATCTTATGTGCATGAGTGTTTTGACTGCAGGTATGTAAGTGGACCATGTGAGTGCAATGCCTGTGGAGGTCAGAAGGTGTCTTGATTCCCTAAAACTGGAGTTACAGATGTTTGTTAGCCACCATGACAGAGTTGGGAACTGAACCCTGGTCCCCTGCAAGAGCAGCCAGTGCTCTTAACCACTGAGCCGTCTCTCCAGACTCTTAGCTACTTTTCGTTTTTGTTTTGGTCTTTTTGAGACAGGGTCTCCCTGTAGCACCAACTGGCCTGGAACTTGCTGTGTAGACCAGGCTGCCCTGGAACTCACAGAGATCTGCCTGCCTCTGCCTTCCAAGTGCTAGGATTACAGGCGTGTGCCACCACACCTAGCCTTACTTTCATTTTTTTATGAGTGTATTACCTGCATGTATGTAAGTGCACCTATGTCATGCAGTGCCTGCAGAGGTTAGAAGAGGTTGGAACTCCTGGAACTGGAGTTAAGAATGATTGTTAGCTGCCATGTGGGTGCTGGAAACCAAACATGGGCCCTCTGCAAGAGCAACCAGAGCTCTTAACCCCTGAGCCATCTCTCCAGCCCCTTAGCTACTTTTCTTATACAGCCCAGCCCACTTCACCATTTGTGGCATTGCCCGTAGGCTGATCCTTCCTATATCAATTACCATCTAAGAAAATGCCTCATAAACATGGCCATAGGCCAGGTGGATGGAGGAAGTTCCTCCACAGAGGCCTTTCCAAATGAATTAAAAGGGACTAGAGAGATAGCTTAGCAGTTGAGAGTGATTTCTGCTCCTGTAGAGGACCCGAGTTTGGTTCCCAGCACCCATGTCTGTTGGTTCACAGCTGCCTATAACTCCAGCACTAGTGAATCCCATGCTTCTGAACCTCCAACTTACTCTCAGACGTGTGAGAGAATACACCCAAGATTAAAAATAAATATTTTTTAAAAAATGAATCAAAAGACCTACATTATTATGATAAAACTATAAAACTCTTATTTAGGGGAAAAATAACTATAAATGTATGGTCTTGGATTAAGAAATGGTTTCTTAAATATAACACCAAAGTACAAGCAATGAAAAAAGAAATACATTGGATTTCATCTAAATAAAAACTTAACATTTCAAAGGGTACTATCAGAAAAGTGCAAAAAGTAACCCATAGAATAGAAGAAAAATTTGAGAATCACCTAATAGTGGTATCATGTCAAATCAAGGCAACAGTTCTTATTTTCCTATTTTTAAATTCACATTTTGCTTATTTATTTTTTGGTGGTACTGGGGATTGAATTTAGGGACCTCCTGCTTACTAGGCAAGAGCTCAATCACTGAGCTACATCCCACTTTACACCTTTTTCTAATGTACAGTTGAAGTTTATTTTGAGATAGGTCTGAACATGAGTCCAGTCACCTTCTCTGCCCTCTGCAAAGCTAATGCCAGTGCAGTACTATTGTGTACTGTTATTGGGGGAAATGAAATTTAAAATAAAACAACTCCAGAATAATCTTGAAGCTTCAAAATTACAGTTCAGGGGACAGTATGGTGAGAGCACTTGATATTGTTAATTATGCCGCAGCTCTTCAGTGTTCCATTACATGAAGTAAACAATAGAAAGTTCTTCGGGTGTCATGTGTCTCTTTTCAGCCAATCAGAAGTCGGGGTTGTTTTGTATGTAATAATAGAATTATTTGCAGAGGAGCTAATAAGTAGGTAGGACTTGGAGGATACGAGTAGCTATGTTAGGGCTCTTAATTGAAGTGAAGAGATAATTGGTCTGGTTTGCTTAACATTTTCAAAATACTTCAATTTTGACTCTAGAAATGTACCACTTCTCAATTAACAGGTTTTGAAATGGTACTCTTAGCACTTCTTAGGGTAACATTGGTCATTGCTTTTTAATTTTGATGAAACAGTTCAATGGGCTTGAAAGAAAAATATGCCAGATTATTAAGAAAAAACATTTTAGGAAAATGTCTTCAAGATTTCCATCACCATCAATACCCCCTTTCCTCTCACCAGAGCCAGCTGACTTAGGTTCTCTGACAAGTTCTTGTTCACTGAATGAGCTAGACAATATTTCCCATCTTTTGAGGAAAATATCAGCTGACATCAGTGAAATTAAAGGGATGAAAGCAGCAATTTTGACAGTGGAAGCCAATCTTTTTTATCTAAATGTTAGAGTGTTGCAGAATGAAGCAAAAATTTTATCTTTAGAAGTTAAAATGAGTGAATATTCAACATCAACATTGAATGCAACAGACAGTTGGAAGATTTTCAAGAGAGAATAGAATTTGAATCATAGTCAGGGTCTACTGATGTAAAAATAATTGGCTTCCTAACAAATACTGAGAAAGGTAAACTCTTCTGGGTGCTCATCCTGTGATCTGAATCTTTCCACATGTTATGGCTAGCTTTGGTACAGAGGCAGCCAGTCATAGGAAAGTTGAAGTTTTTTTTTTTTTTTGTGTGTGTGTGTATGTTTTTGAGACAGGGTCTCCCTGTAGCCCGAGCTGTCCTGGAACTCACTATGTAGACCAGGCTAGCCTACATGAACTCACAGAGATCCGCCTGCCTCTGCCTCCCAAGTGCTGGGACTACAGGTGTGCGCCACCACGCCTGGCTAGGAAAGTTGAAGTTTTTATTGGTTTAGACTCTACATGATTTAACTTGGAAGCCTGGAATGCATCAGAATTCAGTAGAGCTTTCTAAAGGTGTGTTTTTGTTGCTGTTTTGCAGTACTGGGGATTGAATGCAGTATATGCTAGGCAAGTACTTTACCTCTGCACTACATCCCCTGCCCTTTTAAATTTTTTTTTTTTGAGTTGGCCATGATGGCATATGCTTCTAATCCCAGCACTCAAGAGGTAGAGACAGGTAGAGCTCTGTGAATTTGAGGCTAATCTAGTCTACATAGTGAGTTCTAGGCCAGCAAGTGGTACATAGTGAGATCCTTCTCAAGAAATAACAAAACCATTTTTTTTGAATGAGGATCCTAAGTCTCCCTTGCTGGTCTCAGATTTGTGATCCTTCTGCAAGTGGTTGCCTCCGAAGTGCCACCATGCCTGGCTTAAGGTCATCTTTTGAGAAGATGAATGGGCTTAAGATGAAGTAAAACTTGAATGTGAGAAAATGATCCTCTTTCAAGGATCTTTGTGATGTTATTATATTATGAAATATATAATTTCTTATTCTTTATATATGGAAAGAGACCAGTTGTATTTGTGCTTGGTATTTGGATTACAAGGACATTGGTTTTATAACCTATAACATGTTCCATTTTCCCAGATGTCTGGTAGAAATGCAACTTAAGCAAATAACCTATGAGTTGTAGGTCTCTTCCTCATGATTCATGTTTACATGGTAATTTTCAAAGGAATTCATCAGGAGTAATGAGTAATGTTTAGTAAAAAGCAACTGGTAAAATAGTAAATGGCATATACTTTTTAAAACTTAAAAACTACCTTTTAATGAAAGGTACTTGATAAGAGCCTGTCTACTTCTATGTTTGCATTGAGTAAGCAAAGCCTATCATGTGGTTCCACATGTTACCAAGTGTCACAAAAAATAGCATGCAGGTGATTTAGCAATGATTTCAGTCTTTGGACCCTTATCAGTTACATTTCCATGCATTGTAATGTGAGGTTTTTGTTATAAATTATTACTTAGGTGCCAAATACCTGTGCTTAAGTAGGCTGGGGGGTCCAAAGTGTGACAACCCTCTCCTAATTCAAGATTCAAGTAGTTTATGAGGATAGAGAAAATTAGAGTTGAATTTTATTCTTTTCTTTTTCTTTCCCTTTCTCATTTTTTACCCCTACTGGCTTGGAACTCAGTATGTAGACTAGCCTGGAATTGCAGAGATTGCCTATCCCTGCCACCCAAAGCCTGAGATTAAAGGCGTACCCCACCATGCCCAGCAAGAGATGAATATTAATAGCCGATTTAAGAAGTAATAAGTACTTTACCTGAGCACCTTTTTTAGGACACAGGGTTTCCATGTAGCCCCAGCTGGCCTGGAATTCGCTTTGTTGACCATCTCAGACTGGTTTTAATCTCACAGTGATATGCCTGCCTCTGCCTCTCAAGTGTAGAATCAAAGGTATGTGTCACCATAGTCCACTTTTGCTTTGTTTAAGTTACTGAGTGTTTTGTTTGCAGACATAAGGAGGTCACAGGGATGAGAACAGGGGACGGGGGAGGGGTCAATAGTGATGAGAGCCCAGGGGACAAAGGGACGTGTTCTCCATGTTTTACTGTATAGGTGGTTGTGAGTCCATCTCTCTGTGGCCACAAGTGACCTCCTGTCTGTTCCTTATACTTCTGTCACCTTTGCTTCAGTCCAAGAAGACCAGCTCCCTGACATGGGGAGAACCAGGAGGGAACCCACTGCTTTCATTCAGAGGCCAGCTCTTTGCCTAACAGGAATATGCCTGAAGACTTGATGTTATCATTACTATATTGTAGAAACTTTAATTTTAGGACTTTCAAGTAAATTCAGTGATTAATTTCTGAGAAACAAATGTTGATAATTATGTTGTAAGCTTAGTGAAGTTTTAAAACTTCTATGTTCTAGGATCTCAAGAGAGGCAATTATTATCCCGACTGCAAATCAACCCCGTAATGGTAGAAACAATGGAGATCAGTCAAGGTGGGTAATATTTAAATTTTCACTGTAATGTGGCAGTTTTCTGTGATCATCCTCATTTTGTAGACCTCATTCAGTGTGTCATATATCTCTTAGATCCTGCCCTAAGATACCACATTTAGATTTATGAAAATATTTTAGGGCCAGGATATAAGATCTGCATTTTCTTCATATGGTTTTATTTTTTGCCTCATTCAAAAACTTTTTTTCCATGCCTTTCTCTTGCACTGTGGCTGCTCACTCCCTTGCTGCCAGGGCTACTTGAGTCCCTAACTCTTTAACCACCTTTGCTTATTGTCTTGAGCTGCTTCAGCATCCTCCATGGCACCAGTTCAACCTTGCCTAAGTTTGACTGCACCTCAATTTCATTGCCAGGGACCCCTAACCATTTGTTGTAGAGCTTCTGTCGTGTAATTATCTACTTGTCTGTCCCACCTCAGACACACTTTCCAAGGACTGCTTCAGGACTGATGTGGGTTCCTTACTTACATTTATGTCCTTGGTGCTCAGCTCCTGCCAGGCACACATTCAGTGCTTAATAAATGCAGGGAAGGAACAGTTGGATACCTGGAATTTTTTTGGTTTTGTTTTTCTTTTGACAGTCATTTTGTGTGGTCCAAACTGACCTCCAACTCGCAGTCCTTCTGCCTCCATCTCCACCTCCCAAGTGTTGGGATTACAGGTATGTGCCACCACACCTGGCAAGTCTTTTCTCTTTTCTGGTAGTTTCCCAAGTCTGCCCTTGATTTTTCTTCCCCTGCCCCCACCTCCCAATTTTTCTATCCTCCCCTTGTGAGGACTCTATGGTTAGTGACTATTCTCTGGCATTTCCCTGGTTCTCTGTCTGAGCACCTGTGCTTTTCCTCTCTAAGGATTGGCTTCTGTCTAGTCACCAGGTCCTACCTATCTGAACAGTCTGGAGTCAGCACACTCCTCCAGCCTTAATGCCTGCCTCTCCTGCCTTCTCCCTTGTATCTTTTAAGTGCTAACACTCCATCCTTGATTTTTGCCTTCATCTTGCAACATTCCATCCTATTTACTAAGAGTCTTGTGTTTGAAAAAGGCAGCTGGAGTCTCTGTGTTATACCCCACTGTATTCACTTTGTGCATTCTTGTGTTCACCCTCATTGCACAACAGTTTTAAGCATGTGAGGCTTAGTAGTGACCATTGTCACATTTTTTAATTTCTGAGAAGCATTCTTTATTCATGTTCTTTTAACTGATTTTATTTCACATATGTAATACTTTTTCTTATTTCTGTGAGGATATTAGAAGTTGTTTTTCTCATTTTTCCTTTTCCTTCTTGGTCTGTTTTCTCCAAGTTGCTTGTTTTGATCTTCGTGGTAATGGTTTTCCATATGGGGTTCTTTGGTCGTCTGTTGTAAAAAGTGAGACTCTGAATATTTTGGATTCCTGAGTTTGGGGGCATGGGTGTTTCAGTTTTGTATTGAATATAGATCCTGTGTGGAGCATGATTTGTCAGCCTAGTTTGGTAGCACCCTTATATTAGTGCCTTTTAGGCATTCCAGTCTGTTCACCTTCACCAAAAAAGGTCTTCCAAGTAATAGACTGATTGTCAGAGTTCAGGTAACTCTGGGGAAGAGGGCAACGGAGGATCCTCAACATTAATAATTATGTAGTGCTTAGTTACTGTCCCTCTCTCTTTCACTAAGGAATTCTTTCAGCATGGATGGCAATTTCAGAATCTGTCTTCCCAAGTCTAAAGCCCCACTTCTTTCCAGGGGAGAAGTTATGAAATAGGTAAAGGTTATTGGGAAAGCTGCTGTTTAAACGATTTTCCACAGGATACATTCATATTATTTGATTATGACATTTGGTTGATTTCTGTCATAAATTCTGATGCCTCGTCCCTGCACTTCCAGTAGTGATACACAAGCATCACATCTTCAGTCACTCCAGAGTCTTCACTGGAGTGGTAGGAGATGAGCATGGTAAGGTTCAAAACAAAGAAAACTGAAAAATGGATTTAGACTGTAGGAAAGGCTTCTGAAGTGGGCCCTCTAACATGATTCTTTTATCTTTCCCAAGGTCCCCTCTGTTGCTAGTGTCTCAGCCTTTGGAGACTCTTTACCAAATTGAATTGTTTCATTATTGGCTTAGAATCAGTTTTTTGAAAATCTGTAAGTTTCTACTTTTTTCTACTTTGATGGTTTAAGGAAGGGCCACAGCGAATGCTTGAGTTCAGCCCACAGTCTCTGTCCAGACACACTGTCACTCTCCCTTCTGTAGGACTTCTTTGTGACTTAGCTGCTGCTGCTAGGCTTGAAGAGGTGACAGGGTAGGTGATGGGGTGAGTGTAGAAAGTGGAAACCTCTGGTTTAATTTTTCTTTTGCTTGTGTGCATGTGTGTGTGCGTACGTGCGTGCTTGTGTGTGTGTGTGTGTGATGCATGTGGAGGCTTAAGGTTGATGCTGGGAAATCATCTCAACAGCTCTTCATATTAATTGAGGCACGCTCTCTCCATCAAATCAAGAACTTGTTGATATGGCTAGTCTCAGTAGCCAGCATTCTCTGGGAATCTCCTGTCTGATTTTACAGGATTGGAATTGGAGACAGGCTGCCACACCTACCTGACATTGTACATGGATTCTGGGGATCCGAACTCTGGTCCTCAAGCTTGACACAGCAAGCATTTTAACCAGTGAGCTATCTTCCTAGTCAGAAACCTGGCTTCAGTGAACATTTTCCTAAATTCTGTAGCATGTGACACTTACATCCCCCTATTTCTTTCACAGGAAAAGGTTTTGATCTTTTGTTCTCACTTCTTTTATTCTCCCCTGCCAGCCCTTCTCTACCACTGCCCCCTAAAGGGCAACTCTACCTGTGTTCTGTCTTCACGTTTTGCTCTGTGTTCTGCTGAGATACACACTAGTAGAACTAGCACAGGAAATGCAGGGTGCAGGAGGAATGCAGCATTCCCTAGACCAGGTTCTGGGCTTCTGTGGATACGGCCAGAGAACTCTGAGTTACTGAAGTGTTTCAAGCTGCCTCAGTAACATGGTTGGAAAACTTGTGCTTAGCTTCTTAGGCAGGTTCAGCAACAGTTGATACAGACTTGTAGATGACTTGAGCAGTGATACAGGCAGTTAAGTACTGATTGCATCACTGCTGCCCTTAACCTCATTCTCATCTCTCCTAAGGTCAAATTGTGAGTTTTGTATTTCTTCTAAATAGGTAGGAGCCCTACAAGGACTTGAAACTAAATAAATCTGAAATTGCAATTTTTTTATCAGCTCTTCCTTGCTTCTGTACCTCCTGCTTTGACCTCATTTCTGGCTTCCTATCTGTTTTACCTTCCCTGGTTGTGGTTGCAGTGACAGCTGCTGTGAAGTCCTGGTGTGGTTGATGGGGTATGCAGAGTGTGCTCTTTGCTTCTCAGGTGTGTTAGAGGGACACAGGAAAGGAAATATTTTAGTCCTTTTTAACTGTGTTTCTCTCTCTTTTTGGACTTCCTGAGACAGGGTCTCCCTGTAGCCCCATCTGGCCTGGAACTCACCATGTAAACCAGGCTGGCCTTGAACTCACAAAGACCCGGCTGTGTTTCAAAAACCTGTTTGATCATGTCACTGCCCTTCTTAGGAACCTCTTGATTACATTCAAGCCGGAATCCAAAATATTGAGACACACATGATCCGTCACTGTATTCTTTAGTCTTCCTCACCACTCCCCAGCTCACACCATCACACACATGTTTATAGCCGCCCCACATTTCTCATCTTATTTAACACCTTGTAAAAGCTTCTGCCTTGCTATATGTGCTTTCTCTGCCTGCAGTGGCTCTTTGACTCTTCCCTGCTTTGTTCCCCCTTGTTCCTTAATAGTCATTTCACATATTCGTCCTCAGCAAACTTCTCTTTGACCTCTCAGCTGGAGAAGGTTGCCTTGTATTCTCCCAACACCCCTTCATACCCTTTCTAGGTTTTGCTGCCCTGGAGTTGTGTATGTCTGGTTTTCTTTTTTTGTGTGTGTACTTAGCACAGTACTCTTAGTTGTTGAGTAAGTAACTATTCAGTGAATGAACAGTCTGTGAGTATTAGTCCCTGTTATTTATCTGTTGACTTTAAAAGAAGCAATTAATCTTTGTCAGTTGGTGGCATACTCATAGGTTACCGCATCCCTTCTGAGCGCAGGTCCTGTCCTATTTATAAAGTAGTCAGTCTGTTAGATGCATATTGTAGATGACTTGAGCTAGTGGTTGTTCGCATGGAAAATTAGTGTTAGACCTATTCATCTTAAATTTCCTGTCAAGGTAGTTTTCTGTCTACAACTAGGTAGAAATTATGCTGGGTGAATTCCTAACAGTGTTTTCTATAAGTATTACTGTGCAAAATGAACAGAACTTACTTTGGAAAAGTAGTTCAGAAGTTTTGGTATCATAATCTAGGGAATGTTAAGATTTTTAAATTCTTTCTGGTTTTAGAAAAAAATTAATGTGCTTTTAATGTGTATTGTTAATATCACATTAGATGGCACATAGAAGAACCTTTCTCGGTTGTAGGCAAAGACTGTCCGTTGAAGTCATTTGTAATGTGCCATGTGAGGAAAGGACTATTTGAGTTCTCTGAAGAGGTGTTTGGAATAGAAGTATAACCCTGTTCCTGAGTAGAATTAGTTGTGATGTCCTTTGAAAGTAATTATGATGATATAAAAGATTGATATTCTTCTCACATGTATGATGTTGGGAATAAAAGGTATATTCAGAAGTAAACATTTATGGCCAATTTTTTTGGCTCAGATTACTATGACATGGAATCCATGGTCCATGCAGACACAAGATCATTTATTCTGAAGAAGCCAAAGCTGTCTGAGGAAATAGTAGTGGCACCAAACCAGGAGTCGGGGATGAAGACTACAGATGCCCTTCGGGTACTTTCAGGACACCTTATGCAGACACGGTAGATGGTTTCTTTTTCTTGTGTAGCTGATTTGTGTGATTAGATAGTGCAGGTCAACTCTTAGTTTTCAGCTTCCCTGTTCCCTGTCCTAGCTCCCAGTAGATAGTGCTTTATTCATATTCACCAGCTAGGCCATGAATAGTTAGCCAAATTTGGTTTTCAAAAATTCTAGTCATCTTTCTTGTTTAGAAGTCCACTAATTAGAAATAAAAGCTCAGGGTATAATTTAACTCCATTGATAGACATTTTGGTATTCTGTTTTGTTTTTAAATGTATATGTAGGGAATGGAATTTTAAAGGTTATGTAACACAAAATCAGGAAATCCTTCTGCAGAGTTAATAGATGGGGCTTGCATGGTTCCTTCCTAAGAAAATAGACTATTCAGTAAAGGAACACATAAATGAATGATAAAATTAGTGTAAAAATAAAGCTGCTGGCCAGTGTGTTCTGCGCATCCATGCTGAGGTGGGATTATTTCTGTGTTGCCCCTACAAAGATGAAATGGACAGTAGAGTCAAGGTCAGAGGATATTGTCCTTAGTAAGTACAGATTGGAAGATTACTGGTCATGATGCTGCATCTGCTGCCCGCGGCCAGTGCCTGTTAGCGGGAGTCCACTTAGGCGGCAGCAGGCTTTCCTCCTGAGCCAAACTCAAAGCACGGGGAGTAACAGTACTGCTGAAGAGCGCTTTAGGAAACTCAGCATTTTGTGTTTGTTTCCCTAATTCTTTGGTATTTTTTATCTGTCTGGCAGAGATCTTGTACAACCAGATAAACCTGCAAGTCCCAAGTTTATAGTGACGCTGGATGGTGTCCCCAGCCCCCCAGGATACATGTCAGATCAAGAGGAGGAGATGTGCTTTGAAGGAATGAAACCAGTAAACCAAACTGCAGCCTCAAACAAGGGACTCAGAGGTCTGCTCCACCCACAGCAGTTGCAGTTGATGAGCAGGCAGCTTGAGGACCCAGATGGTAGCTTTTCTAACGGTGTGTTGAGAGCTCACACCTTCCCTTCTCAGCGCACTGTCATTATGAAAGGAATCTTTGCCTATTTCTTCACCTTGAGCAAATATTGGTTTGAGGCCTTGCATATATTTCTATTCAGTAGCCTCTTTTCTTCTATCATGCAAAACTACCAGCTCAATTTCAGCTTTTCACTCTGTGAATTTCATACCTGTGCTGTTAGGCTAGTGCTGAAATAAAGTTCAGCCTTGTGATCTAAACTACCTCTTATTGGTACTTGCTAAAGGATGAACCATCATTCTTGATGCCTTAGATACTTTTTTCCTCTAGAAACTAAATTGCCCCATTTACAAGCAACAGTCTCTCATAATTAACTTGAAAGATGGATTTGGATTTTGAAGTTTTTCCCTCTGGAGTAGGATTTCTTTAAAAGAAGTTTCTTACCAAATCTGGCAGAATACTTGCTGGAAGTAGAAGGATCTTGCTTAAATTAATATCGAGTGGTAGGTACTACTTAGCAGAACTTGGATGAACTCCATTCAGATGATGCCATGCTTTTAGGCGGCCAGCTGTTACCCCTTCTTGTCTCATGGACACCAGTGGGCAGGTGTGGCATCAATTCATCCCATTCCTTATTAGGTACACTTCTTCATAAATAGTTAATTACTGAATCTTAAAAATGAACAGATTCAAGAAAAGTGAATTCTGAAATGTTTACTAAGTAGTCCTTTTCTTGGTAGAGATATAAAATATCAGGTGCTTTTTGTTCAGCCACTGAAAATATAGTAAACTAGAACAGATCATGAGTTAGAGATAAATGCCTACTTTGTTTCTTTCCTGCTGTGAGTTAGTGTCATAGTTTTGGTTTGTGGGGGGAGTTGAAAATGTGACCCCTAAATAAGTAAAAATTGAAAACTGTAACAAAGTAAAAACTGCAGATTTCCTCACCCTGTGTGTTTTGTCTAAATCAGGAAATTTTGGAGTTAACTACTCTTGGTTATTAATTTGATAGCTTAAAACACCTGGACTTGTTGGCAGCCATTTTCATTTGAGGGTGGGTTTTGGGCTTTGTTGGCGTGTGGTAGAAATGACACTATCAATAACATGCTGGTCATACTTAACGCCCATTTTATGCAAGTGCTGTAACCACTATGTAGACAGCTGGAGTAGCCTGCCTTTTTTCCTATTGCTCTGGTTGAGGAGTCACAGTGTTAAGTTGCTGCGTGAGGATGAAGCTTTCTAGCAACGAGAACATGTGTGACAGGAGACTCCTGCAGAGCAATCTCTCAAGGAAGCTCTGGCCTCCACCTATTTTCCTGCAAGCACAGTTGAGTTTTTACTTTGAGGTTGATATTTTGATGTGTTGTACCAGGATGCTAACCAATGGGAATATCTATTTTAAGACACCTACACTGCCCATCATATGGCAGCACAGATATTTTGCAGCTTTCAATAAAAGTACATTTGTCTCTGAAAATTTAAGTTCAGAGTTTTAATCACTTAAGTAGTGTCAGTCCAGGAAAATGAGAACCTGAATTGTGTATTGCCTCACATTTCCATCACAAAAAGCAAGCTGCTTTGAACATCTTTATTTTTCTTGTGTAGCTAAGCTGCTCTTTGGGATTGTCATTTTTCATTTGTCTTGGATCTTCATAGTCTTATATACATGGAGGAGGAGGGCAGGCTGCGTTTTCTCTGCAGGGATGATACAAACAGATCACTTAAAGGTTAGGGAAGTTCCTCCTTCCAGTGATACTGAGTTTTCTTTGCTCTGAGAACACTAACATCCTAAGGCTAAAATAAATGGGTGACCATTTTTGTTTATTTTTCTGTGTAGGAGACCCAAACCAGGGTCTTGCAGATGCCAAGCAGGCACTAGGTTGCACTCCTAGCCCGGCTACTTTCAAAGTAGCATAACAGTTTAGCTCAGGCATACTCTAGTTATTAATGCTCCTATCGGGGCCACATGACTGGATCTATGTGCCATGTTCTTATGCAGGGTAGATAGAAATTGGGTCACTGGAACAAAAGTTTTGCCTTCTTTGTATCATCATCTGATCTGGAGCAAATTATGTTTCAGATATGTTAGATAACACTTTGGCCCAAGGTGTTTAGATGAACTAGTAAAATGCAGAGCCAGATTTGGCCTGCCTGACCTTGGGTACTGGGACTGGCACAGAGAATATAGCTGGAGTGATAGTTGGTTTCACATTAGTGTGAACTGCTAGCATGTAAAACCGATAATGTTTTTCTGGCTGGGATCAGGTCAGAAGTAGGCAGCCAATTATGGCCTGCAGGTATAATTTTGTTGATACTAGTTTTACATAGAACTTAAATGTCATATGACAAGGTAGTTTTTTGTTGTTGTTTTTTCTTTCATGAAATAAGAGTTGACAACACAGTGAATCCCACTTTCTCATGCCATTAATAGGCATTGTAATTGGGTATGACTTAGTTCAAGGACCGTGAGCACGATGGATCAGCTTGCACTTGTCTTCTAGGGTATGGCCCCCCTGCCTGTCTCCTGCCACTTAACATCTTCCACCAACCAGGCTTGCTACATTAGATGACCTGCCCTGTCCCTGTAATCAGTGGCATTGGTGATCTATTTTAAGCAAAGATGTTTTCCTTTTTAGTTAAGCATCAAGATCTTAATTGACTATTTCTCAGCAAATGGGGACACTTTTTTAGCATTTGTAAACCTTGCTGGACTATGAGAATTAGTCACACTCCTATCAGTTTGCATTCAGTTTTCATTTAATTGGTTTCTTATTTACCTGAGTTTTGAAATCATACTAGAATTTAGAATTTTTGGTGAAAATTTTAGTTCTACCTACAGAATTGCTGTCTATTGCTAGGATTGATCATATTAATTGGGTCCGATTATTTTATAGGGCTACAAACGTAAAACAATCCAAGAGTTTGCTACTGGGGTTTGGGGAAATTTTATTCAATAGACCCTGTACTGAAATGGTCTTAATTAACAAAATGTTCTTAATTCCTCTTTGAAGCCGAGATGAGTGACCTGAATGTGGCACAGAAACCAGAGAAGCTTCTGGAGCGTTGCAAGTATTGGCCTGCTTGTAAGAATGGGGATGAATGTGTGTACCATCATCCTATTTCACCTTGCAAGTGAGTAACACCAAGTAGATGCTTTCCAGTTAATCTCTATACCTTATAGCCTTTTTCTTCTCTGTGGATAAGCTTTTGTTTCATAAGTAGATGTGTTACCATGACCCCCTCTGGATCTGCATATGTATGCATGTGTGCATGTGTTGGGAAAGGTTTCTTTGTGTTTGGTACCTCTGCTGGATAGCTTTAGTGTCAACTTGACAAACCTAGGTTGAAGGAGCCTCAATTGGGCAGTTGCCTCCACTGGACTGGCCTGTGGCCATGTCTGTGGGGCATCTTCTTGATTATTGAGTGATGTAGGAGGGCCCAGCCCACTGTGGGTGGTGCTACCCCTGGACAGGCGGGCCTGTGTTGTGTAAGAAAAGCAGGTTGAATGGGGGCCAGGGGAGCAAGCCAGTAAGCACTGTTCCTCTATGGCCTGTGCTCCAGCTCCTGACTCGGGTTCCTGCCCTGAGTTCCTCCTACCTTGGGCTCCCTGATGACCTGTGACTCGGGAGATGAAAGCTGAATAAAGCCTTTCCTCCCCAAGTCGGTATTGGTCAGAGTATTTTGTTACAGCAGTGGAGAAACAAACTAGAATATTACCTATGATGAAGTGCCCGAGTCTTTTGAGGATTCTATATGTTAAGTATAACTATACAGTTAGTATGTATTTTGTTCACAGACAACATAGATTTTATTTAGGGGTTGGGTTATGAAAAAATATTGTAGATATGGGTTAAAGTTTTCCATACCGGCTGGCTGATTTAATATAATGAGCTTTGTGAGATTGCTTTTGGGCGTTGTTTTGTTCTTTTTGTTTTATGGGTTCTTTGGAGGGACTACATCCATGTTTTAACTATAAGAACATTTTGATGGAGGAACCACATGATACATGTAAGGACTGTAGGTTGACTCTTCCAGTGCATTGCCTTGCCCATAAGATAGGCTTACTGTACTGGAATCTACTTAAGATACGGACATTTCTGGTAAAGTGGCATGACTGTAAAACAAAAATCCTCTTCCATTTTTTTTTTTCTTTTTTTTGGTCTTTTTGAGACAGGGTCTCCCTGTGGCCCCAGCTATCCTGGAACTCACTATGTAGACCAGGCTGGCCTTGAACTCACAGAGATCTGCCTGCCTCTGCCTCCCGAGTGCTGGGATTAAAGGTGTGCGCCATCACTCCCAGCTATATTTTATGTCTTGCTTTTAGACAGACCTGAAATAGACAATTGTGTTCTGTTCTGGTATTTAGTTTTATTTGAAAAATAAGGAGTATCCCCCCAACCCCACCCGTGCCCACAACTGTGAAGCCAGAGCTCCGTGTATATTAGGCAAGTGCTCTACCACTGAGCTAGCCCATTACTTCTGGAGTGTTCCTTTCTTTTTTTATAATGTGGATGTGTATATATTTGTGTGAGTATATGTCACATATGTGAAGGTGCCCAAGGATCCCCTGAAGATTGAGTTACAAGCAGTTGTAAACTGCCCAACCGGGGTGCTAGGAACCCAACCTGAGTCCTGTAGAAGAGCAGGAAGCACTCTTAACTGCTGAGCCATCTCTATAGCTCTGCATATTGTAAAATAAGAGATGGTGTTTGAAAAGTTCCTCTGCAGAAAAACAAATTCTAATACAATGAGGATATTAAATATGTGCAATAAACTTTTGTTTTGTTTTATAGAGCCTTCCCCAATTGTAAATTTGCTGAAAAATGTTTGTTTGTGCATCCAAATTGTAAATATGATGCCAAGTGTACTAAACCAGATTGTCCCTTCACTCACATGAGTAGAAGAATTCCAGTACTGACTCCAAAGCCAGGTTAGTGACTTTGCGCACTGTGGAATTAAACAACAAAAAGGAGTAGTTTTAGAAATAATTTTAATGTTTAAAGAACAAATTTGGCTGGGTGTGGTGGCACATGCCTTTAATCTCAGTATTGAGGAAGCAGAGGCAGGCAGATTTCTGTGAGTTCAAGGCTAGTCTGGTCTACATAACAAGTTCCAAAGTTCCAGGTCAGTCAGGATTATATAGTAGGGCTCTGTCTAAAAGTAAAAAATATAAATAGCAAAATTCTTAGAGAATTCTGCCATATTTTATCTTGACTGATGGATATATGAAACTAATTTACAATTTTAAACTTAAAAAATTTTTAAAAAAATATTTATCATTTTTATTTTATGTGTATGAGTGTATTGCCTGTATGTATGTGAGTGCACCCGTGTCATGCAATGCCACAGAGGTCAGAAGAGGGCTTCAGATTCCCCTGGAACTGGAGTTAAGGATTGTTAATACCCGTCATGTGGGTGCTGGGAATTGAACCCAGTCCTCTGCAAGAGCATTTGGTGCTCTTAACCGCTGAGCCATTTCTCCAGCCCATAAAATTAAAAAAAAATTTTTTTTATTATTTTTATTTTATGTGTATGAGTGTATTGCCTGCATGTAGGTAAGTGCACTCGTGTTGTGCAATGCCCGCAGAGGACAGAAGAGGCTGTTGGATCCCTTGGAACTGGAATTACAGACAGTTGTTAGCTGCCATGTGGGTGCTGGGATTCGAACCCAGGTCTTCAAGAACAACCAGTGTTCTTAACTGCTGAGCCATTTCTGCAGCCCCCATTAAACTTAAAGGTTTTTTGATTTTATGTGTACAAGTATTTTGCCTTATGTATATAAGTGTACCATGTGTGCAGTGCCTTCAGAGGCCAGAAGAGGGTACCAGCTCCCCTGGAACTGGAGTTACAGCTTTATAAGCTGCTGTGTGGGTGCTAGGAGCTGAACCTGGGCCCTCTGCAAGAGCAGCCAGTGTTCTTAAATCCACTGAGCCATCTGCCAAGCCCCATCACCATACTAATTTAAATAATTCTTTTCTTAAAAATATCAGAACACTGCACTAAAAGCCACGTTAGCCAACAGATCTGATCATTCTCTGTTGCTGTTTCTTGTCAGCAGTTACATCACCAGCACCATCTTCTAGTGGTCAGCTCTGCCGTTACTTCCCAGCTTGTAAGAAAATGGAATGTCCCTTCTATCACCCAAAAGTAAGTAATTTTATTTTCCCCAATATAATTTTAGTGGTAATTTCTCAACTTGAGGTTTGAAAGATCACTAGGAAATTGAATGCTTTGTTTTCTTTAGAATTTTCTTATTTTTTTTAAGGTTTATATTTTTAATTACATGTGTGTGGGGAAGGGTATGTGCATGTGTAAGCATGTGTCCAAGGAGGCCAAGGGCAGGGGATCCCTGTGGAGCTAGAGCTACAACGTGGTTGTGAGCCGAAGTGTCCTCTGCAAGAACAGAATGACTCTTTACCTGCTGAGTCATCCCCCCCACCCCCCTTGCCTTGCTGTCTTTCTTGTCACAGTTAATTTGCTGGTGCACTCCTTTAATCCCAGCACTCTGGAGGCAGAGGCAGGTGGATCTCTGTGAGTTCCAGGCCAGCCTGGTCTACATAGTGAGTTCCAGGACAGCTGGGGCTACAGGGAGGCCCTGTCTCACTCAAAAAGATCTATAAATTGTTTCTTTCTTGGTATTGAACTGCTGACCCCTGTCTGGTCCTTTGAGACAAATGTTCTGAAACTTCCATGTTAGTGTTCTGAGCTGTCAGCTCGGGGGGCATCTTTGCTTGTCACATTTTCTGTTCTTACCTGCCTCATGTGAGTGATTTTATTTACTTTTTTTTTTTGGTCTTTTTGAGACAGGGTCTCCCTGTAGCCCCAGCTGTCCTAGAACTCACTATGTAGACCAGATTGGCCTCGAATTCATAAAGATCCACCTGCCTCTACCTCCCAAGTGCTGGGATTACAGGCGTGCACCACCACGCCCGATTTTATTTACTTTTAAACTGGAGTCAGATGAGATGAAGGAATGCAGTAACTGCCTGATACTACCCATATATGTACTGTTGGTCTGGTATGTTGTTAAAGAGTTTTTATATATCGCCAGTTATTTGGCTGTTCAGAGAGAACATCTGTCAGGTTTTCACTTGCCCACTGAGGGAGGGTCTCTGAAGAGGGATGGTGGGAGTGCAGAATGCTGCCACATTACTAGAAAATGCTGTGTTGGATGGTAAGGTTCATTTAAAAATTCCACTTGCTACAAGGGAAGGTTGATTCTTCAGGGTTTTCAAGATGAGAATTACCATGTCTCCTTGTTAGTAGTATAGGGTGGGGCTAATTATGATAGTTTCAATTGCAGATTTACTTATATTAATTTTGCATATTTACTTTGCTGAAGCTTTGCTCTCGTTTCTGTTCAGCACTGTAGGTTTAATACTCAGTGTACACGACCAGACTGCACATTTTATCATCCTACCATTACTGTGCCACCAAGACATGCCTTGAAATGGATTCGACCTCAAACCAGGTAAAGATTTAAATTGACTTTTCTAATGTCATTTTCAAATACTTGTGACTGTGTAGGTTCTTGTGTATAAGCACACAAATCTGAGAGAAATGAAGCATTTTTTTTTTTTTTTTTTTGAGACAGGGTCTCCCTGTAGCCCTAGCTGGCCTGGAACTCGCTATATAGACCAGGCTGGCCTGGAACTCAGAGAGGTCCATCTGCCTCTATGCTGGGATTAAAGGCATCTGCCACTATACCTGGCTGAAATAAAACATTGTTATTCCCCCCCTTCCCACTGCTGCTTTTAAATGTATATAAGGATCTTTTAGCAAAAATGTTGTACTATATGAACCAAATGTATCTGGTGGTGACTTTTTTAACTTTTATCTCCAGAATGAGATTTTTTTTTGTGGTGCCAAGTATTGAATCCAAACCTGAATGCATGGCAGGAAAGCACTGCCAGTGAGGCCATACCCTTTAGCCCTTTAATTCCCAAGCATACACAATGCAAACATAACCAAGGCCAGCAGGATTATTTATATGTATATATTATACATATTGCTTAAGAATCTCAAATCAAGCTGGAGAGATGACTCAGCAGTTAAGAGCATTGACTGCTCGTGCAGAGGTCCTGGATTCGATTCCCAGCACCCACATGGTGCTTGACAACCGTCTGTAACTCCAGTTCCAGGGGGATCTGCCACCGCCTTCTGACCTGAGGGCATTGTGTGACATGGGTGCACTTACACACATGCAGGCAATACATATAAAATAATTTCTTTAAAAAAAAAAAAAAAAAAAAAATCTCAAATCAAGGACCCAGGAAGATTGCTTACTCCATAGCCTCACAAGCATTAGATTTTAAGTTTTATTACCATAACCAATGTAAAAATGCTAGGCATGGTAGCATTTAATCCTGGAGCTCGGGAGGCAGACAGGAAGAGCTCTGGGGGTTCCACTGGCCAGGTAGCCTAGCTTACTTGGCAAGTTCTAGACCAATGAGAGATCCTGTCTGAAAGGAGTGAGACAGCATTCCTGAGGATGACATCTGAGATTGTCCTCTAGCCTTCAAATGCATGTGCACACACATGCACAACCACACATGCATATAAAAAAGAATCTCAAATCCTAGACATTGATTGTAAGATATTGAAAGGAAGTTTCAGAAATATTTTTGTGTGGTGTATAAATTACATAATTTATTACCTTTTATCTGCCTTATATAAACAAGTCTGATACTTAAATCCTTGTCTGGTGGCCAATGTTGTCTGGAAACATTTAATTTTGTAGCTAAGGTATATGGTATATTTGGATACCAAGCAGTTAATTTAAAATTTCTTGATTTATTTATTCAGTGAATGATGACCCAGTCCTACCTGGCAGAAGATCATGCAGTTTGAAAGCGTCCATCTTCTGATGAAAGATGCTCTACAGAACTTATCACATCTTTGAAAATTAGAATATATTGCTTTCATAATATGAATTTTATTGCCTAACTGAAGTGTCTAATTTTTCAAGTTTGTAAGTTTATTAAGTGGATTCAACATTTTTTTGTTTGACTATGAAAAAGACAGTTTAAAGAAAAGCCAAACCCTATTAAACCATTTGCGGCATGTTTGTACACTGCTGTTCGGCATCGTTTTAGTAATGGTACTGCAGCTTAGGGCCACAGCATTGGAAGGTAAGGCTAATGTCCTCCAGAGCTGAATCACTGCTTCTCATTTTTCCAAAGATAACAGTGTTTCTAACCCACCATGGAAACAGGAGTGGCCAAAAATACTGAGGCAACTTTGAAAAGCATAATGGTTTGAGTGCTCCTTTGGTAAAATGGTCCCTTAAGTCCCTTGCCTTCTGTGAAAGTAAGTAGTGACGTGGTCATACATAGGGCAAAAATGGTTGGCAAAATGACTGAGTTCTTGAAATGTTTTCATAGAACTATTAGCATATAATTTTTAAATTTTGGGGGGACTACATTATCACAAAATCATACAAAAGTTTTTACAAGTATATACATAAAATATCAGAAAACAGACTTTAAACGCACAAGATTATAAATATACATGTATATTCCCATATTCTGAAAAATATCAGAAATAACTCCACAGAAAATATACTTAGTTACTACTGAAGATACTTTTTGAAATGTAAAAGTTAGGTTTAAGTAGTATATTTTAAATGACAGAACTATATAATTATGGAGATTGGATAGGTAAACTAGGATGAGACTTGGCCTACTAAATAGTTTTATTGTGTTTTGTTTTTTTTTTTTTTTTGAAACTGTTAAGGCAAGAAGTATCATGTTTTAGAATTGAATAACAGATGAATAACTGCTTTAAAAGACTTGATTTTTTAAAAATGAAAGCTTAAAAGGTCATTAGTAAACTGATTAAATGCTGAGGGGTAATTAAAATTTCAGAAACATATTTCACTTTAAAAATTTTTTCATTGATTTATTTATATACCCAAAAGATGGACAGTAAGCTCCCATCTGTGCACATCTGCCTAGGATTGTGAAGCCAGCCTTCTGTGTGTGGGTCATTGTCTTTGCAGTGAGAGAGGGGAGAATTGATCATTCCATGTGCTAAGTTGGCCTTGAACATGCCAATCCCAGGAGTAAAGATCTGAGACAGCAAAAGAACAGAGGACACAGGGGCCTAAAGCTGCTTGCCGAGTTAGGCTCAGCTGAACTGGCAGGGCTTCATTCTGTGTATTCCAAGACATTTAAGGCATCTTCATTCTAGCTTTGCATCACAGTTGAAATTTTTTTAAATTGTTTGGATTTCTGGAAATACTTTCAACTATCATTTTTTTATAAATGATGCGAAGTTGTGTTCTCATAATTACACTGTAAGGACCAGAAGTGGGGACCAAGGGCTTAAATGGTTTAGCCTTGTTATAGGAAAATCACAAGTTGAAGTCGATTGTATTCTGTGACTGAATAGACAGTGACTGAAAACACATTTAAAAGTAGTTTTTTGATTTTTTTTTTTTTTTTTTTTAAAGATAGGGTTAAGATAGGGTCTCATGTATCCCACGCTAGCCTGGAACTATGTAGCCAAGGATGACCTTAATTTCTGATTCTCTGCTTCCACTTCTCAAATGCTACGGATGAACCCAGGGCTTCATGCATGCTAGGCAAATGCTCTACCAACTGAGCTACATGCCCTAGCCCCACGTTTGAAAGGTATTGTTTAGATTCTGTGGTTTATAGACAGGCTAACTCTTGACTCCTAAAAACACTTGTTTGTCCAACACCATAAAAAGACACACAGAAAAGGAATGAGCATGGTTGGCGATAATGCAGCGTTTCAGACTCTGCTGTGTGCTTTGGCATGCATTTACATAGAAAACAAATGGGACTACAGTAAGTCAGCAATCTTGGGCTATAACTACAGCAGCTTATTTGGGCACTACACACACATACACAAAAATAATGATTCTCTGGGTTAAAAAAATAGAGGGGAGATTCTATATGGTTTGTCACCTTTCTTCACCTTTAGTTGTTGGCTAATACAGCAAGGTGGTCACAAGATGACAAGTCAACTTGACCTTAGTCATGAAACTGATGACTGCAATGGCCTGGACTGATTGACCAGGTTGGCCAGGTAAAAGGATAAGAATGCAGTGGCAGCTGTTTTACTGCTTAACGTGGAGTTTTACCTGTATTATAATTGAACCGAGAATTTTCTGTAACTAAAACCTGCCAAACTTTACCCAGAGGGAAAAGTTTAAAACAACATGCTTAAATTTGAACCATTCTTTTTTTATGGGAGTTCTTTACTGACTACCACTTTATATAATATCAATGCATTCTAAAACATGGCCTGATTGAGAAGAATTCTTTATGAGCAGTGGAAGTCTAGTCTTGTTTTAAGCCTTTTGTAGCCTCTTCATCAGTCCTCTGGTCTTCAGCTTTAAAACAGCAGATTCAGTCACTGCTTAGACTTTCTATGTGATACGTTCATTTGCTTTTCATATTCACAATATTTTCACCATAGAAAACAGTTGTCATTAAACCAAATAGAATTCCAGAAGCCTGAGGGGAATCTATGCTACAAAGATTATTCATACAGTGTAATAAAAATGGATAGGACCAGTAGTGCTTCTTTAATGTCTTCAAACTTAGAAAAATATATTTTAAAAAGTAGTCTACATGATTTTTAATCTTCAGGAAACTACAGATAGGCTAAACAGCAAATTCCTGAATGGTGAGTACTGATCTTTGGCAGCATTTAAAGTGAAAGGGATTCTAATTTTTTCAAATATATCTGGGTTCATTCATTTTGGAAAATAGCCTATAGAGTGGCATACATCTAACAGCTTTTCTCAATACAAAACTATAAAATTTCATGCTCATTGTTACAAATTTGATGCTTTTGTTTACACAATAAACAAATGTTTCATATGTTAATTAGTTCACACCTTTAAATCTGCAGTTTTATCTTTCAGTTAAATGCTGTTGCTATCACAGAACCTTCAGAAAACTACACCATTGAAACTACACCATTGAAAACAACCATTGAAACAAGTGCTCACTGTATTATTTTCCTATTAATGAGGCCATAAATTGTGTTTCAAATTTTATAGAGATGGCGTCTAAACACAAAAAGATTTAACAGCTCAAAAGTGAAAATGTAATAGTCATATACTGCTGTAAGGAGAAGTGCCCTTTGGGAAAGAAAAGGGACTTCATTAATGTGTAAGAAGCATTTTCCAGGAATGCCTGTGCGTTTCCTTAAGGAACATGTTTGCATTTTGAAAACTGATACTTAGGGTGATGTTTTTTTCCTTTCCTAATGGAAATGCAAGGGTGAACTATTTTATTGAAAAAGAAAACCTTGAAAGTTTTTCTTGAAAAAGAATTATTTTTAAAGGAATTCCCTCAATCTCCTGGGCCGGTCTGTCAAAATTGCACACTCTTCAATAAGGAAGGTTGCTTTTAATGATACGTATTCAGTTGTTCCTTGAAATGTAAATTATCTGGCAGTGTATGAATTATGGACAGTTGATACATAGAGCAAGCATTTTGAACTGGTCAGTCTGCTGTTTTTATGATTCTGGGCATTTTTCATTGTCAATCTTCAGTTAGCACCACTTAACCATAGAGTTTGGTTTTGTTTTTTTTTTTTCCTTCCTGCGACTCTGGTTTCTCAAGATTTAGTGTGTAGAGTCTTCTCAGCATCCATATCTTTCAGTGAGGCATATGCACACATTTCCAGACAAATAAACTGAAATCAGAAAAAAATGACAAGGAGTTCCTTCACATTTCTGTATTTCCAAACAGTTTAATATTTATCAACTTAGCGCTCAAATCTCATGTAAAACTTCAGAGTAATTCCTTGTAGTCTGTGTGTGTGTAAGGAGGTAACTCAAGGGTCACTGGTTATACTACCTTCTGCTAAAAGTTAGCTAGTTCATTTATTCAGAGTATAGAGCTGTTACAGTTAAGTACTGACCTGCAGTCATCACCTCCAGCACTGACAACATGGCGATCACCACTGGTAAATCGAATATTTGTCACATGGGGGGAGTGACCCAAGAACCGTTTGTGCTTTGCCTAAAACAAAAAGAGAATAAACTAAGTATATTTGATGTTCACAAAAGTCCTATACAAACCATCTCAGCATGAGAGTGGGGAGATAAACCACAGCAGTGATCAAAGTGCTTCCACAGAGTTTGCAGATCTGTATGTAAAAGCTCTAGGTTATTTGGGCACTCATGTATCCAGTTCTTTGAAAGTTTTCTCTGGAAAAAAAAAAAAGCGCTTGAAATTTGGTAATTGAGTATAAATTTGGTTTAAAAAGCTCATCAGAGGTTTCCCAGGATAGTTTCAATAGGGAAGACCTATTTTATTATTCTGGTCTTTTTTTTTCTTCTTGAGACAGGGTTTCCCTGTAGCCCCAGCTGGTCTAGAACTTGGTATGTAGACCAGGCTGGCCTTGAACTCAAGAGATCTGCCTGCCTCTGCCTCCTGAGTGCTGGGACTAAAGGCTTGCGCCACCATGCCCCACGGGAAGACCTATTTTTAATTGCTGTTATTTTGGGGGAATGGGCTTAGGAAATTTGGGGCACAGTATTTTCACAACAGGACCATAACATCTTAAATATGTGAGGAAAAGGTTAAGTTGTAAGTAAAGTGATATAAAGCACTAAACAAAGACTTACGAATTTTTCTGGACATGGGAAATCATATAATTTAACCATGCCAAAGTCATCTCCTGTTGCAAGGTTGATTCCTGAATGCGATACACAGGCACAGTTGACATCCGCTTTCTCAGCATGTCTGGACCAGATTCCCATAACTTCATCTCCTAGGATACTAGGGGGAAAAGAAAATGCACCATTGAAAGCACAGGCAGTTTTACCGTATTGAACACTAATACCAATCTAATTGAGTTATTAAAACACCAGGTAAATGATGGGGAGGCAGGTTAGGTTGGAAGCCTGCATTAAGTCCTACTTTTTAAAATGAAATACAGTTTGAGTATTTTAAGAGATTAACCTTGTAAAAATTCAGTTACTACTTTATGAAAGTTAAACTGGAAGTTACGCTTTAGGAATCTGATGGCATTTTTTACACTGGGTTAATGTAATAGCCAGAAAATTGATCAAATTTAAAAACTACATTTCTTGATTGCACTTAGTAGTTGTTTAATTGCCTGTTACTAAAATTTAAGAAAATACCATGGCCTGGCGTGGTAGTGCATGTCTTTAATCCCAGCACTCAAGAGGTACAGGCAGCCAGATCTCTGTGGTTCAGGGCCAGCCTGGTTCACATAGCAAGTGCCAGGCCAGCTGGGGCTACAGGGAGACCCTGTCTCAAAAAGACCAAAAAAAAGAAAATACCATGGTACCAGGTATATGGTGGTGCATGCCTTTAATCCCAGAGGCAGGCAGACCTGTGTGTTTAAGGTCAGGATGGTCTGCACAGCGAGTTCCAGGGGCTACAAGGAGACCCTTGTCTCAAAAGAATAGAAATAAAAGGACACCCCCCCCCCAAAAAAAAGAGAAAATACCATGGCCATTTCAAAGTCATAACTTTGATTCCTTTCTTTACAAGAACTTGTACGTCATGGACACTGATAAACCACAGGCCAGTGTTCAGTCAAAAGGGGTGCCAGAATTGACATAGCATCATTCCCCAAGAATGAAGGATACGGGAACAAAGCCATGAAACTCGGGTATTCCCTAATGGAATGACTGTTCAAAAATGGAATTTTCCTGCTTTGTTTTTTGAGACAGTCCTCAACCACACAGTCCAGGCTTGCCTAGAATTTCCAAGTCTGTTTCTGCCTCCCAAGTGCCTCCAATCAACCATATCTGGATGATTTTCCTGCTTTCTTTTCAAACTAGTCCATGCTAGGAAAGTGCCCTGCCACTGAACTACATCTCCAGCCCAAATTTTTCAACTTTAAAATCTTCTGAGCTTATGAAGTGTTTACCTGGTCCAGGTAGCCCATGTGATCCTGTCAATGGCAGCGTGATCCACAACATGTTTTCCTGAAGGCACTTCATAGACATGCCGTTTATAGCAGCCACTAGAAACCTTTTATCAAAACAGGATGAAAATTTTGTTAAAGGGAAGAGCCACAAGGGTTTTATAGAACATGTCTAGTAAATACATGTATGAGGAATGCAAAAGAACTATAAAAACACCAAAAACTGGAGAAAAGGGTAAAGTGGGAAGGAGATGAGATGCAGCTCAGAACAGCAGTCAAAGACTGAGCAGATACTGAGCTCTAATGCACAACATGAAGGCTAGAGGTAATAGCCATATTTAGAAATTTGGGACTCAATGCTAAATTTTGAGACTAGCCACTCTTGCCACAAAAATTGTTTTCTAAGATGATGTGGGCATATTGCTTCAGTATAGTAAATTTTATTATCTATAACTTAACCCATAACATGTATTTACAAATAGTAAAATGTATTTTCACAAAGAATAGGCTGTAGAATACAGAAATAGTTGCAGTCCTGTGGTACCTGGGGCTTTAAATGCATTCACTAACACAATGTACAAGCAAAGCTTATCCTAGTAAACTGGGTCCAATACTGAAGCCTACCTGGAGATATCTGCAGTCTGCAGAGAAGTCCATTTGAATGACAAAGCTCGGAATGTCTTTGCAGTAGCTGATTCTGTTAAGGGTAGGGCCCAATGTTAGGTCATAAAAGTCCACTGAGTTCTCACTAGAACCCACTGCCAAATACCGGGAATCTGGGCTAAATCTGAATAACAAAAAATGTGTTAAGATCACATGAAATAGTTTAAATGTTTTAAGATCAGTGACTTTTCTAGCTCTTGGAAATGAGTTTCTGTTTAATATGACCTCAAATTAACTTGGAAGACACAACTAGTCAAGAATACAGATTGTATTGTTCATTAACATGAAGTAAGATTTTCACATTTTCCTTAAATGTTAAATATCTCCCAATTTTAAAGTAATTGTTTTTCTTTAAACCAACATTCCAGAATTACTAAATTAATGTACTTCATAAAGTAGGATGATTTGATCCAGAAAAGTGATGTCTTTATATCAAGGAACACAGCTGGCCTCACCTCGCTGGTTTTTTTTTTTTTTTTTTTTTTTTTTTTTTTTTTTTTTTTTTTTTTAAAAAAAAAGAGGACTTGGTCTTTTTGAGAGAGGGTCTCTGTAACCCTAGCTTGTCCTGGAACTCATTATGTAGACCAGGCTGGCCTTGAACTCACAGAGTTACGTCTGGGACTAAAGGCGTGCACCACTAAGCCCAGCCCTCACCTCAAGTTTTTAAGATGAAGGAAGAACACATGTTAAAGCACAGAAGTGCCCTCTGTCAGCCTTGGGAAGCAGCAGCAGGTGACCAAGTCTTGAACAAGGTCCCCTGAGCCTTGTTGAACATTGGGGACATGTTGGAGTTAATTGGAAGCCACTGTTAACATTTAATATGCCTGACTTCTGAAAAGATTTCTTTCATAAAAGGATTTTACGGCTGAAAACACTATTGCTGACAGACCTGGATTCAAGAAGTGCTTAGAATATGGTAGCCTCTATGAAATGAGCTTAAACACAAAAATAAAGGATCAAGAAATGTTTAAGCGTTATCAGGATGGCTCAGCTGGGAAAGGCACCTATTGCCAGGCCTGACTACCTGAGTTTAATACCTGGGCCCATGTTGGTAGGAGAGAACCAACTGCCAGTTGCTCTCTGACCTTCACCACAGAAGTGTGTAAAAGGCAGCAAGGAGAAAGCCCTGAGAAGGAAAGCCAGAGGTTAATGTGGCCTAGTGAGATTAGGAAAGGTATTCTGACTTTGGTTTCTAGACTTCTGGATGGCTGCTGGCTCTCTTAACAGTGGAAGGCAGTTCTTGAACCAGAGAGTTTACATGTCTAGTACTTGGTTTCATAGGCAGTGTAGTTGGTGCTCAGTAGGATTTATAATTTTGCAAGAAGAATTAATACCTAGATAGGCACATTTCAGCATATAATGTATATTCACTGGGTGTGCAGCTCAGAGATAGGCACTGGTATTGCAAAAATTTAGCTATTAACCCATCAGGACCTATTTTGGTGGTGTGGACAAATTTTTCAAATGCAGGCTGGATCATAAGTTATTAACTAGAAAATCTATTTGTTGACAAACCTGATATCATGAATTGCACATCGCCTGTCTCTCTTCTTTCCCCATATTTTTAGAGAGCTCACAAGTAAAATAATAAATTCTCCATTTTTCATGCCAATTGCCACCATGTCCCCTTCAGGGCTGTAACACACAGTCTGAGCAGCATGTCCCAAATTCACTTTGTTTAGCATCTTCTGCGTAAGAAGCAAAATAGTCACAGGAAACATTATTTATAATAGAAGCTGATTTTTCCCCACATCTCGAAATAATCCTGACTTAAATGCTAGCAGAAGATTTCCACTTTCCTTTTTCTTGGGGAGGGGTGGGTCTTTTTGAGACAGGGTCTCTCTGTAGCCCCAGCTGTCCTGGAACTCACTATGTAGACCAGGCTGGCCTTGAACTCACAGAGATTCACCTGCCTCTGCCTCCCAAGTGCTGGGATTGAAGGCATGCGCCACCATACCAGCTCTCCACTTTCCTTCTTAAAATTGTAACCTCTTGGGGCTGGAGAGATGGCTCAGCAGTTAGGAGCATTGACTGCTCTTGCAGAGGATCTGGGTTCAATTCCCAGTACCCACATGGTGGCTGTGAACTGTCCTTAACTCCAGTTGCAGGGGAATCCGAAGCCCTCTCTGACTTTCACGGCATTGCACAACATGGGTGCACTCACCTACATACAGGCAATACACTCATACACATAAAGTAAAAATAAAGTATTTCTTTAAAACTTGTAACCTCTAGGAGCTGGGTGTGGTGGCGCACACCTTTAATCCCAGCACTTGGGAGCCAGAGGCAGGTGGATCTCTGTGAGTTCAAGGCCAGCCTGGTCTACATAGTTCCAGGACAGCTGGGGCTACTGCAAGACTGTCTCAAAAAGACCGAAAAAAAAAAAAAAAATTGTAACCTCTTAATAAAACTTTGTGTACCTACTTTATCAGCAATATCCCAGAGTCTCACTGTCCCATCTTCTGCAGCAGAAAGGAAAAAATCCCTGGAAGGATGTGTTGCTAATCCCCAGATTGGCCCATCCACATGACCATTAACTAAAATACTACAGGCTGCATTTTTCTCTCCGACTTCAATTATTTCAGCGTTCCTTGTCCCAACTAGTATCTTGCCCTGAAAGACAAAGGGGACCAACTCATTTAATGTAGCACAACAGTTACATTGCATTTAACAGTCATTAGCTCATGCAGATTTTTCTATTCCTAGAGGCACACCTACAGCAGTCAAGGCTGTGTTGCATGGTAGGGTCCATGCTAGAGTTTTTCTGTATGGTAACTTGCCTATATGCTTCAATAATCAAGAGTTTGGAATTGGACTATGATCATCTTAGGACCTCCCAAAAGAGAAACAACTGCATTGTGATACAGGGCAAAAGAACTGGAATCACATTTTTGATTAAAACACCAGGCGTGGTGGCACATGCCTTCAATCCCAGCACTTGGGAGGCAGAGGCAGGCGGATCTCTGTGAGTTCAAGGCCAGCCTGGTCTACGTAGTTCAAGGCCAGCCTGGTCTACGTAGTTCCAGGCCAGCTGGGGCTACAGGGAGACCCTGTTTCAAAAAGACCAAAAAAAATAAAAATAAGTGTGAATGCTAGGTGTAGTGGTACACACCTGTAATCCCAGCACAAGGGAGGCTGAGGCAGGACTGCCAAGTTCCAGGCCAGACTGGACTATACAGTGAAAGAAAAAGGAAGTTTAAATAAAAATAAGTTTAATATTTAGCATGCAGACAGGTTAGTAGTACATGTACTGCACAGGCACCTTTATATGCCACAGTTTTTACAAGAATGTGGGTGTTTTTTTTGTTATTTTAAAGCAGAATAGGGAAAATTAAAGGGACAATGGAAGAGAAAGAAGTCCCTCACTCAGGGATTTGGTTTATATTTCTTCCCGACTACAAATCAATAATTTTGACACACCTGAAACAAAAAACAAAAGCCCCCAACTACTAGAAAGCCTTCCGAGAGAGACAATAACCTTTTCTGAGCGATGTCTTAAATACATGAGGAGCAGCTGAATGGAGTAGCGATGCATACCTGTAATATCAGCATTCAGGAGGCTGAGGCTAGCCTGGGTTGCACAACACAGTGAGCCTCTGTCTCAAACCAAATGATAATGAAACCCCTCCAACAGCAAACTAAATCCTACCAGCCCACCTTCAAAAAAAGTTAATGAATCATCTTCAAACCACAACTTAGGTGATCTTTGAGTTTAACAATCTGAACAGTGCATCCCATAAGCCATCTTTTTTTTTAATTTTTATTTATTTTATGTGTGTGTATTGCCTGCATGTAGGTAAGTGCACCCGTGCTGTGCAATGCCCGCGGAGGTCAGAAGAGGCTGTTGGATCCCCTGGGACTGGAGTTACGGACAGCTGTTAGCTGCCATGTGGGTGCTGGGATTTTAACCCGGGTCTTCTGCAAGAACAACCAAGTGTTCTTAACCACTGAGCCATCTCTCCAGTCCCCCCCCATAAGCCATCTTATAATCGCATTTGTAAAAGGAAGTTCTTTAAGTAAGCCAGCTCATTTTTTAAAAAATATTTTTATTTTAGTGCACAAGTATATTGCTTGCACGTCTGTAACTGCACCCATGCCATCCAATGCCTTCAGAGGTCAGCAGAGGGTCTGGATTTCCCTGGATCTGAAGTTATAGATGGTTGTTAGCTACCATGTAGGTGCTGGAAATTGAACCGGGATCCTCTGCAAGAGTAGCTAGTGCTCTTAACCACTGAGCCATCTCTCCAGCCCCAAACCAGCTCATTTTTAACTTAATTTGTAAACATTATTATATTTTGAAACAGGGTCTCCCTGTAGTCCCAGCTGGCCTGGAACTTGCTATGTAGACCAGGCTGGTCTTGATCTCACAGAGATCTGCCTGCCTCTGCCTTCCAAGTGCTGGGACTTAAAGGTGTGCACCACTATGCTGAGCTGTAAACTTTAATTTGAAAACTGCTGAATCTTTGGACCTAGTTATATGTTTTATCCTTTTGAGTAATGTAACAATGACAACAAAAAAGTCCCCAAATTTGGGACTGGAGAGATGGCTCAGTGGTTAAAATCAGTTACTGTTCTAGAAGACATGGGCTCAGTTCCCAGTACCTACATGATGGATGGCTAACCTACATCTGTAACCCCTCTTCTGGCCCAGTGGCAGTATTACATGCACGAGATGCACTTATATTTAAAAAAAATTTTAAACTATTTTTATTTTATGTGTATGCATGCATTGCCTGCATGTAGGTAAGTGCACCTGTGTCGTGCAATGCCTGTGGAGGACAGAAGAGGCTGTTGGATCCCCTGGAACTGGAGTTATGGACAGTTGCTAGCTGCTATGTGGGTGCTGGGACTTGAATCCCGGTCTTCTGCAAGAACAGTCAGTGTTCTTAACTGCTGAGCCATCTCTCCAGCCCACAAAATGCACTTATACATGCAGGCAAAACACTGATAAAATAAAAATTAAATAGTTTTTTAAAAAGCCTCCAAATCATAGATAGATGATAGATAGACAGATAGATAGACTTTAAGACATGTAACCCCCAACCCCTTAGTTTTTGCTTTGCTTCATGCTGACTTGCCCTGACATTTTTTTCAGCAATGCAAGCTAAATTAGGCTCAAGAAAATAAAAGGGGGTGGTTGTTTGCTTCTGTGAGTCAGGGTCTTACTACCCATCCCTGGCTGGCCTTCCCAGTGCTGGGATTAAAGGTGTGCACCACCACCACTGCCCCAAATAGATTGAAATACTGTTTAGACATAGTAGTTTCTTGTCTTAGTAGAGCAGCACTGGTAAGCAACTGCATCCTTATGTAGTATTAAGTATCGTTCATTAGGTTGCAAAGGGCGAGGGATCACAGCAAAGCTACTCTCTTATTTTCTGCTGCATCATATTGGCTCAAGGAACACCTTACTTTGCCTCTGCACACAGACCGAACACAATCTGTGACTTGTCCTGTCTCAAGTCTGAAGGCCCGGCATCGCCTCAGTTCCTGATCCCACAGTTTGACTGCTCCTCCTTCTTTTGACCTAGGTAAAAACAAAACCTAAGTAAGTGTGCATTGTTGACTACAGTAATTTTTTAAAAATATTATTTTTAATTTTATTTTTTGGGGGGTTTCTGATAATGCTACATTCTGAACATAGAAAGGGTACAAAATGACATTTTTTTTTCCAGAATATTTCAAAGGATGGTGCCAGTCTATCACTGTCTGCAAAGCACCTTCACATACTGTTATTATAGGTCATTTTTTCTCTTAATTAAAGTAAGACACCATATGTCTATAGTTTTGGCCTGTACTGAAATGGGGGGAAAGAGGGTCCCCTACAGGGTTCTTAGTCTCATTCATAAAAAAATTGAAGAGTGAACCCAAATGGCAGAAAGTGGGCAGACTTACAGAGACCTGGATGACAGTGGCTGGTCAGAAGTTCTGCGTAGTTCTGCATAACAAGGCCGGATTCCCGGCAGGAAAAATTCGCTACCTCATTAACACACCAGGTATTCTGCCCATCTATTTAGCATAACAAGGTGAATCTGCCTTCCTAGGGGTGATAGTATCACCAGGTGACTGACCAGTGAGATTGGAAAGGTGAGTCCTCCAACAGATGGACCAGGTATTTTTATAGTCTTGACCAATAAAACTTATGGGGCTTTTTGCTACTCTAACACTCCCCCCCCCTTGAAGAGGTAACCCTAAAATCTTTCAGGGATTAGATAAGAGCTCCCAAATACTTTTGACATTTTTGGTCTTTGGAACAGAGTATGTTGCTAACTGTAATTTTAAATATTTTTATTTATTATTATTTTTATTTTATGTGTATGAGTATATGCCTGCATGTATGTGAGTGCACCCGTGTGTCGTGCAATGCCGCAGAGGTCAGAAGAGGGTGTCGGGATTCCCCTGGAACTGGAGTTAAGGACAGTTTGTAGCCACCATGTGGGTGCTGGGAATTGAACCCAGGTCCTCTGCAAGAGCAGTCAGTACTCTAACCGCTGAGCTATCTCTCCAGCCCCCTAACAGTAATTTTAATCATAAACATTAAGTTGTCAGAATATTTTAAAAGGTCCTGATATTTATAGCTTCTAGTATTCTAAACCTCCTAGAACAATCTAAGGGTACATACTGCTTATGTCAGTCAAAATGTACATTCAGTTCAGTAAATTTTACTCTGTGAAATACTCATTTTTTTTCTGGCACAAGCATAATTTTATTTAGTCCATACATTATAATAAATTGCTCATAACAGTTCTCCATTAAGGAACTATACAAAACAATTCTTTTATTGTTGGGTGTGCGTGCACACACCATATTACGCATGTTGGAGTATGGAGTAAAATTTTGTGGAGTTCGTTGTCTCCTTCCACCTTTACCCAGTTCTGGAGATTGAAACTCTCTAGGCTTGCAGCACAACTGCCTTATCTTGCTGAGCTGTCACAGCCCCACAAAGCAATTTTTAACATTAAAAAGTTCGTTGAAATACAAAGATAAGAGGGTTATAGATACTATGCTACAGAGAAGCACACTTCTTTCTATCATCATTAAAATAGCCTGTGGAACAGTTTAACATAAAGGCTCCTAGTGAGGTGTGCAGAATGAGGTGGTGCAGGAAATGTGTGTGGAGAAATAGATGAAATAAAATAGAGGCACTTGTGGAGTTTTTCTTGGAAGAACTGAAAACATTCCTAAATTTGCTTGTCTTAGGAGAAAGCATGCCTATATACCATAATATACTCTTCACATGAAAAGATAAAGCTTTGGCACTTGTGTTTAGCTTATAAATGGGGACTTTCCATCCTGTAGTGAATGAGATGTACATATATGTGTCTGTGTGTGGGTCTGTGCCTGTGGAGGGCAGAAGAGGCCACTGGATCCCATGGATTTGGAGTCACAGGCAGTTTTGAGCTGCCTGACATGGGTGTTGGGAACTTAATTTGAGTCCCTCTGCAAGAGCAATACAGGCTATTACCTTCTGAGTCATTTCTTCAGTCTCTCTATCTTAACTTTTGTTTTGGTTGGGGGAGGGGCATGGGTGCAGGTATGCACAAGCCATTGTGAATGAGGAGGTCAAAAGACAATCTCTTTTTTAAAAAATCTTTTTTGAGATAGAGTCTCCCTGTAGCCCCAGCTGGCTGGAACTCACTATGTAGACCAGGCTAACCTTGAACTCACAAAGATCCACCTGCCTCTGCCTCCCGAGTGCTGGGATTGGTCAAAAGACAACCTTTAGTCCTTGACTTTCTCCTTTGTTTGAGACTCTCTTCTCAGCTTACCCAGACTAGCCAGCTAAGCATCTGGAGATGGTCCTATCTTGTCTCCACCTCTTATCTTCCTGAGGGTGTACTGGAATTACAAATGTTTGTGGTACTTGGTGGGCTCTGGGATTAAGACTCACATCATCAGGCTTGGTGGCAAGTGCTTTTACTCACTGAGCCATCTTCTCAGCCCACAAATCAATTTTAAGAATTTGGTTACTGTTTGGACATTTGAAAATAACTCAGAAAAGGTCTCTCCTCACATTGTACTTTGAGGTCTTGTACAGAACAATTTAGCACTCCCACTCCTTTTTCATGTGACTATTCATCTAGGTCTTGGTATCCAAAAACAAGACAGTAGGTAATCAAGATGTAGCCTGGGATCTACAGTAAAGATTCCACTTTTGGGTCCCCTATCACTCAACAAATGATGATGATGCAGGCACACAAGTATTAGGAGAACCAGTAGGATAACTTCCTGTCAACATCTCAGATGAAGTTATAACTAGTTGCAGTTCAACTTTATCTAAAATGCCAAAATGTGGGCTGGCAAGGTGGCTCCGTGGGTAAAGGCACTTGCTGCCAAGGCTGATGGCCTGAGTTTCAATCCCTGAAACCCACATGGTAAAAGCAGAGAACTGACTCCTGAAAGTTTCTGTCTGACCTCCACATATGTGTTGTGGCACATGTCTCCCCTCCACATTCCAAAGACAAAATAAATACATGTGAAAAATAACATGCGAAAAAGTGATTTAAGACTAAAATTCAGAAAATTCAGAAAGCACAGAAAACGCAATAAAGGAAACAGACATGAAGAAGGCCAGACTGCAACCTGTGCAGCCCAGACATAGAATACACAGCTATAGGTCTTGGGTAGATAACAGATGTGTAAACAGCAAGGATATGATTAAAGAGGACTCACGGCCTTTCTTTGCCACCAGTCACAATAAGTCCATCTCTCAGGGTGGTGTACATGGCGAACACAGGCCCATTGTGAGCTCTAGCCACCACTCTACACAGTATGTGCTCTTTCCACACACAAACATCACCACTGATGGTACCTGTAAACGTCAAGTTATTCTGAAAAGGAGTGGGGAAGGGGGAAGACAAACTCATCAAAAGTTCAAAGAGAGGTCAAATAGATGTCACTGCCTATGTGAGGGAACGCTATCTCATCTGCTTTGACAAAGCTCACGCAAAGTATGGTGGCAGACACTGTACAAGAAGCTGAACTGAGGCTTAGCCCCCTTGGGGCCCTTTCTTTCCCCAAGTCTGTCATTTATTAGCAGGATTGACCTTGGACACATCTCTCCTTCTAAAATACTATAATTCTAACTCATACTGTTCCTTTGGCTTGTTTCCCTCTAGCTGTCCAAAAAAATTCAAAGGTCACTAATCACTAAACACAAGAGGCAGTTAGGGATAGGGAGTGCAAATAACTTACTGGGTTTGGTAAATAATTTTGTCACAGAAAGTAATTCTATTATCCATAGCAAAACTATAGACTTCACTAACTCCAGATCCAGGAACATCATGACTTCATGCCTGTGCGCAATAAGGACAGCAGTATTTTCCTTTCTTTGCTCTTTCTGTAGTCCCTGGCATAGATTAAAAAATGCCTCTACTGAGAAGCATCTCATTGTTCTCTGTAAATGTGTACAGCTTGATGCTTTGATGTATCAGTTAAAGCACTCTTCATGCATTAAAAAGGGACTTTTCTCATTTAGTCAACTTTACTTTTTACTGAGAATGGTAATTGGCTACAGAGGACTTTTGTGAATGAAGAAAGTTCATTTCATGGGAGAATCAAGTACCAGAAGCATGAGAATGTGAGGTTTCTCTTCTGGAAACAAATGACAGACTCTGATATTGAGAATAACCAAAAGGCTCCATTCAAGTTTGACATTGTTGATCATTTTTTCAAAAACATAAGTGTATTCAACAGTTTTAAACTTGTAATTTTCTTTTTAAAAATACATAGTACCCCCATAATGTATTTTAATTGTAAAAATCCATTTAGTTTTCTGTGGAACCAAAGAATTTGAAAAGCCCAGACAAGGCAGGGTATTAAAGGAGAGAGGTGTGAATATTAAACTGCAGGCCTTGATGGGATGTGGGGTAAGAGGAAGTGGGCTCCTGGACACTCTTCATTAAGGGAAGGAACTGCTCTCTCTACTCCCTTCTCTGTGCTACACACCAGTCTGAGCTCTTCCAACTATATGATAAATGGAGTTCAGACAATAGAAAGCAAGGGAAATCCTAAGCCCAAGTCTGACCATAAATCACTTGAAGATCATGTTTCTTGATTTACCCACCTTTTATTATAACAGATTTTAGGTGTATGAGGAAGTGCTAGGATAAATGACGTTTCAGGTAGTTTAGGGCAACAAGTACATGACTAATGAAGCCTTGGAGAATGGCAATGTCCTAAGGATACAAATGGCTATTTTTGCTTTGGTGCGTTTTGTTGGGGTTTTTTGTTTTGTTTTTTTGTTGTTGTTGTTTTATTTTGGAGACAGGGTCTCACTATGTAGGACAGGTTGGCCTCAAACTCATAGAGGTCTATCTCTGTCTCCTGGGATTAAAGGTGTACCCCATCATGCCCATCAAATTTGGGGGGGGGGTCTTTTTGAGACATGGTCTCCCTGTAGCCCCAGCTGTCCTGGAACTCACTATGTAGACCAGGCTGGCCTTGAACTTACCCTGCCTCTGCCTCCCAAGTGCTAGGATTAAAAGCGTGCGCCATCATGCCTGGCTCCAGTAAATGTATTTTATAAAATGACAGATGATTATCCTCTATCACTAACTTTCTTGTTCACTCCCTTATTTTTGAAAATATCAGAATTTTGAAAGATACCTTATATGCCTGACCAGAACATGTACTATCAGTGTACTATGATGTTCCCACTTCAATATTGATGCTGCTTATGAGTCTAAGGCAAGAAGACTTCAAGTAGTCAAGATTATACCATCACACAGCATTTTAACAGACATACTGCACCAAATGCAACAGCAAGCATGGTCTGCATCCGGGCATCATCCAGAGTACTCAGCAGCCCTTTTTTGCTGAGAAGAGCCCTTCCTGCCAGGGTCCAGAACTTCACATGTTTTATTCCCACAGAGACAAACTGGGTATCTGAATCTGGTCGGAATTCTGCTACAAAAATACGTTGGTTGTGCCCAGCTCTGCTGGCAATTTTGGCCCCTGATATAGAAGATACAACAAAAATTTCCAGGTTAGTATAACAAGCAAGCTAATTAACGGGATCAAACAGTTATTGAAGTGTATAAAACCCTAACACACAAATGCTTCTGAGAGGGCTCTGACCCTTGCTCTGCTACTTAGCAGTCACATGACCTACAATCACTGTGTCAAGTCCTTCCCACACTTTGCCAGTGATGTGTATATTTATGGGGCACTTCATTACAATTGAAGGGCCGTTCCTTATTTTTCCTGTGTGGCTCCATTAATTTATGGTTATATAACCTAAATGTTTGGCTAATGTGTGTCAGGTATTATTATTCTATTGATCTTAATTCTCATTTAAAATATACTTTATCGGCTAGGAATTTGGTTCCATGGCAGATCACCTGTCTTGCATGTGTCAAGCTCTGGGTTCGATTCCAACACACTTTTTTTTTTTTTCGGAGACAGGGTCTCAATTATGTAGCCCAGGCTGGCTTCAAATTCATAGCAATCTTCTTGCCTCAGCCTTCTAACTGCTGAGAGTACAGGCATGTGCCTCCAAGCCTGGCAATTTTCATTCTCAAGTATTTATTAAAATATTCCAGAATCAATCAAGTCAGTACTTAGCAAAGACACATACAGAGTTACTTACTGAAAGAAAATCAGAGTGAATCACTTATCATTAATTTATATTTTGTAAGCTTATGGTTTTACTGGGTTTTTAAAAAGGGAAATAGACCAACAGGGCTACCAGCTATATGCCATGTGTTTTACAGACTTATAATGAAAAACAGCTTCAATCACCAATTTAGGCAAATATTAAATATAGCATTCATTGTTACCTTAGGTTTGCTTTTTAAAAAATTACACAAATGAAAGAATCCTACCTTCCTGCCATCTCCAAATGGTGACAGTATGTTCCGGGTCTAGTCCTACTGACAGCAGGAGTTTTCCAGTAGCACTGAAGCTGACTGAACACACACCCTTTGAATGGTAGCATCTTAGTATTGACAGAGTCTGCTTGTTCATTGCATCCCAGATGTGGACAGAAGGGGCAGTAGCTAAACAAAGATAAAACCCAAACATTATAACTGTCCCAGTGCTTCTTCCATTTCTAAATCTGGCACATACCCATCTCTGAAACATGGACAATTATGCACTAAAAAAGAACTGTAGTTTATAGGAGAGCTCAAAACTGAAGCAATTAAAAAAGAAATAGGGGGCTGGAGAGATGGCTCAGCAGTTAAGAACACTGGCTGTTCTTGCAGAAGACCCGGGTTCGAATCCCAGCACCCACATGCAGCTAACAACTGTCTCTAACTCCAGTTCCAGGGGATCCGGCAGCCTCTTCTGTCCTCCGTGGGCATTGCATGACACAGGTGCACTTACCTACATGCAGGCAATACACACATATACATAAAATAATAAATAAAATATTTTTAAAAAGGAAATAAAGGAGGGGAAAGCTGTATTCTAAATTGCACTTTTGAGAAAATAGAATTTAGAGAAATAAATCAGGCAAGAGTTAACATTAAACAATTCATCAAAAATAAGGCAGGTTTGGGGATGGGAGGCATAGCTCAATGGCAGAACACCCATTTTTGAGCAAAATGACATAATTTAATTCTTTTTGGTAGAATAAACCTCATATATATGTCATATTTTCTTTATCTATTCATCTGTTGATAGATATGTAAATAACTAGGTGAAATATTGACTTAAGAGTTCTTCACAGTCTGGGTGTGGTGGTGCATGCCTTTAATCCCAGCACTTAGGAGGCAGAGGTGGGTAGATCTCTGTGAGTTTGAGGCCAGCCTCGTCTACATAGTGAGTTCCAGGCCAGCTGGGGCTACAGGAGACCCTATCTCAGAAAGACCAAAAAAGAAAAAAGAGTTCTTGTCATGATAAGATAATGTGCATGATAAGATAATGAGGATCATGTGCATCCTCACAGATGGTGTAGCTGAGTCAGATGGTAGAGCATTTTTAGTTTTGTGAGGACCCTGCATACTTATTTCCATAGTGGCTGAACTGATTTTCATTCCTACCAGGAGTGCATAATTGTTTCCTGTTCACTATTTCTCAATTTGTTGTCTGTTTTCTTTATGCTAATGATTCTGATGGGGAAAGGTGTCTCTGACAGCTAAGGATCCTGAGCCTTTTTCCATGTTCCTTGGTCATCTGGACTTCATCACTCAACAACTGTCCATTTCAACAGCCCATTGACAGATTGCGTGCTTGGATTTTTGATATTTAGCTTTTTGAATTCTTTATATACTCTAGTATGTAATAATGTAATAATCCTCTGTCAGATGTATAGTTATAAAGATTTTTCTCCCATTCTGTAGGCCATCTCTTCACTCAATGGTTTTCTACTGCTATTTGTAAAAAGCAATGCAGCTTTTTAATTTTATGCAATCCCATTTCTCAATTCTTGGTATTACTTCCTGAGTTAAGTCTTTTTCAGGAAGCTCCTCCCTATGCCTCCATCTTGAAATATTTTTCCTATGTTTTCCTCTAACAGTTTAAGATTTTCAGGCTTTACATTAAGGTCATTGATCCATTTTGAAATGGTGAAAGATCTACTTTAATTTTCTACATGTGGATATTCAGTTTTCCATTTGTTGAAGAATCTATTTTCCACCATGTATAGTTTGACATCTTTGTCAAAAATCAGGTGGCTGGACCTGTGTGGGTTTAATTTGGCCTCCTCAGGCCTAGCTTACTGATCCTCATGATTCTGTCTCTGTCTCTGTCTCTGTCTCTGTCTCTCTCCCTCCCTCCCTCCCTCACCAGTACTATGCTGCTTTGTTGCAAGGGCTCTGTAGTATGACCTGACAGGGACTGTGATATGCCAACACTGCTCTTTCTGCTCAGGACTGCTTTGGCTCCCTACGGCCTTTTGTGCTTCCATGTGATTTTTAGTATTGTCTTTCTGATTTCTGTGGAGAGTACTATTGGAAATTTAACAGGGATTGTATGGAATCTGTAGATTGTATTGATAATATAGCCATTTCCATTACATAAATTTCATCAATCCACGAGCACTGGAAGACTTTTCCATCTTCTAGTGTCTTCTTCAATTTCTTCACTGCTTTAAAATTTTCATTGTCGCCAGGTGTGGTGGTGCACACCTTTAATCCCAGCACTCGGGAGGCAGAGGCAGGTGGATCTCTGTAAGTTTGAGGCCAGCCTAGTCTACATAATGAGTTCCAGGGCTACAGGGAGACCCTGTCTCAAAAAGGCAAAAAAAAAAAAAAAATTATTACTTTTTTCCATTGTTGAAGCGTTCACTTCCTAGGTTAGGTTATTCTGAAGGCTTAAAAATATTTATTGTTGTTGTTGTGCTTAGAAGCTACTGTGAAGGGGAATATTTTCCTGGTTTCTTTCTCAGCATAGTGATTATTGAAAACCTATTGTTTTCTGTAAGTTGATTTTGCATCCTGCTACTCTGCTAACGGTGTTTATCAACTATAAGAGTTTTCTGGTGGAGTCTTCAGGGTCTCTTATGTACAGGATCTTATCATCTATAATCATGATTACTGCCTTTTCTATTTTTTAATTTCTCTTTTTTTACATTTACATGTGTGTATGTATGTGTGTGTGCATGTGTGTGTGTGCATGCATATGGTATGGTACACAAAGAAGTCAGAGGACAATGTGTAGGAGTCAGTTATCTTCTTCCATTATGCGAATCCTGGTGATTGAACTCAGGTCATCAAGTTATGCATCGAGCCAACTTGTCTGCCTGTTTTTTTGAGTTTTTTGGGGGCAGGATCTCATTCCAGCCCAGGTCAGCCTTGAACTTATGGCAATCCTTCCACCTCAGCCTCCCAAGTGCTGGAAGTAAGGCTATGAGCCACCACACCTGGCTTCCTATTGGTATCCTTTTTCTTTCTCTTTTCTTATTGCTCTAAGTACAACTTAGGGACCATAGTAAGAGTCCAGAAAATGGAACCTTTGTCTTGTTGCTGATTTTAGTGGGAATGCTTTGAGTTTTCCCTATTTAGTATAATATTGGCTTCAAGTCTGTCATATAGTTTTTAGTATTCTGAGGGATGCTTCTATTCCTAGTTTCTTCAGAGTTATGATGAACGGATGCTGGGCTTAGTCAAAGTCTCTGCATCAACTGAGATGATCATGTGATGATTTTTGTCCCTGAGTCTAGTATTGACTGCATTTATGGTCACCCAGTTTTGCATCCATGAAATAAAGCCCATTTAGTCATGGTGAATGATCTTTTTGATGTGTAATTGAATTTGGTTTGCAAACATTTTCTTGAGTGTTTTTGTATCTAATGTCCATCATGGAAATTTGCCCATAATTCCCTTTTTTGTTATATTCTTATCCATTTTTGTTATCAACATAATACTAACTTCATAAGATGATTTTAGCAGTGTCCCTTCACTAGTTTATGGTTATTTCTTTGAAGGTCTTGTAGAATTCAGTAGTGAATCCATTTGAGCCTGTTCAATCTCCATGAGATACTGTATGTTTTATGGTTACTCTTGCTATTGATTTCAGGTTTTATTTCATTATGATTACACAGAACATAAGAAATTACTTCAATTTTCTTCATTTATTAAGACTTGCTTTTTGTCTTATGGTCTATTTTAGAAAAAAATTCCATACCCTGCTGAACAGAATGTGTACTCTGCAGTGTTTGGGTGGAATATTCTGCAGATGTTTATTAAGTCCTATATATGAACATTTGTTCTATGATGCCATTTAACTTTCATGTTTCTTTGGCTTTTGAAGTCATCTGATACTCTGTTGAGGTCTTTGTACTTTCAGATCCAGTAGTGTTTATTTTATGAAAGTGCATGCAGTGTTCAGTGCATATATGTTTACAGTTGTGATCGCCTCTTGAGGAACTGTTCCTTTGAAGTGAAGTGACTTTCTTTATCTCTTCTAATTTTGGTCTGAAGCCTATTTGTCAGATATTAGTATCCTGGCTTGGTTTTTAGTTCTGTATGCTTGGCATATTTTTTCTATCCTTCCATCCAGAGGCTGTGTTTGTCTTCACCAATGAGGTACATTCCTTGCAGACAAAAAGTCCTAGTTTTTCAACCCAATCCAGCTTTTTTTTTTTTTGGTCTTTTTGAGACAGGGTCTCCCTGTCTTGAAATATACCATTCTATGCTTGACTCCCCACTCCAAGTCTGGGAGTAAAAAGTAGACTCAAACTGTCATACATTTCAGGCACAGTGAAGTATTAAATTATTTTGTTATCAAATGAGGAGTTTGAGGCCAGGTTGGGTTACATAGTGAGTTCCAGGCCAGTCAGGGCTACACAGCAAGACTCTGTCTCAAAACAATAGCAATAACAAGCAAGCAAGCAAACAAAAATCAAAATAAACACTATGTAATAGAAATATACATAGTGCTTAAAACCTGTGAAACTAGAATCGAGGAACTATAGCTTGTAGTACAAAGTGGCACAAAGTGGTCTGTTTTACAGCTCCTCAACTCTGCTGTGATAGCATAAAAACTACTATAGGTGATATGTAACAGCATGCTGTGCCCAATATTTTATTTATGGATTCAGAAATCTGAATTTCATATAATTTTCATGATCATGAGTTTTATTCTTCTGATTTTTTTTCTACCATTCAAACTGGTTAAACAAAAAACTATCTTCAGCTCATGAGCTATACAAAGTAAGAGCTTGACCAGATTTGACCCAAGTGCTTTGTCAGTTCCTACTCTTAAGTACAGCCAAGAGACCATGGACCTAGACTGTTGTGTTGAATAAATTAGTAGTTGACTAATCAAAGCACAAAATCATACCTCACCATAAAGAAGGGGAAGGACTAGACAAAAATTTATGGGGAATATTTTGCCACCAAACTGCTAGTAGAATTATATTACAAAAAAGAAAATATAGTTGAAAAATCCTAGTTATTATAATATGTAAAACAATGAACATACATATTTTAACGTATATTTTTATTGAATTTTTGTACATTTCATACAATAGAACTTAATCATATTTAGACCCCTCCCCCTATCTACTGCTCCCCATAGCCCACCCAGAGGACTTCATGCATTCTGTCATATGTGTTAAGGCCTATCAAGTCAAGTCAAGTTTGTATCCAGATGTCCCTTGGTATGGGAACATATATTATTAATAATCTAGCTTTCTCTCTCTCTCTCTCTCTCTTTCTTTCTTTCTTTCTTTCTTTCTTTCTTTCTTTCTTTCTTTCTTTCTTTCTTTCTTTCTTTCTTTCTTTCAAAGACTTCATCCATGGGTAATAAAATCTATTGATATACATCTAATGTTTGATTTCATTCCACCTTTGCTTTTTTTTAGTGCTTGGAACAGACTCAGAGACTTGCATGTGCTAAGCACATGTTAAACCCCTAGCTACACCCCTAATATCACTCTTTTCCACTTCTGCCAATTATGTGATGTTAGAAAGGTAGCTAACTACCATGAAGAATTCTTGTGACAGTTACATAAGGCAATGTAGGAAAAATCTTTAGAATAGTTCTAGGCACATTAAAAAGATAAAAACCACTTTTATGAATAGGTGTGTATGTATGTATGCATAGGTGTGCATGTGTATGTGTGTGCATGCGTGCATGTTTGCACATGTGTGTGGAGGCTGGAGGTCAACTTCAGGTGTCACTGCTCCTCAGGTGCTATTCACCTTGTTTTTCTAATTGGCCTGGAGCTCTCCAATCAGGATAGGTTGTCTGGTTGGGGAGCTCCAGGGACCCTCCTTTCTCTAACTCCCCAGCGGTAGGATTACAAGTGTGCACTGCCAAACCTGGCATCTTCACACGGGTTCTGAGACTCAAACTCAGGTCCTCATGCTTGTGAGGCAAGCACTTTACTGATTCAGCCATCTCCCCAGCCCCATAAAGCATTTTTAAATTGTTACTATTATTGCAGACAAAAATGATATTATTTTTCATTAATATTTTACAAGCTGTACATAGAACAAGATGCTTGGACTTTTTTTCTAGTAATAAGATAGTTGTGTGAACCTTGTTACTTATTGGGCTATTTATTACTAGATAACAGGACAAAACCAGAAAATATTCAATTTTCCTTACCTGACATGTCTGCTGAATCACCTATAGTGGAAAAGTTGTAGAAAAATAGTTATCCAAAAATAGTATGAATAATATTAAAATTTATAAAACACAATTATAATTTTTA